ACAAATAGAATTTCAGTGTCTAGAGATATTATATTCGAAAACGAAGGTAATAAATTGCAGACAAATTAGAATTAACAGATACTCAGACTCAAATCGAGGACGATCCGGTCAAGGTCGAATTGACGACGGTCGACAACAGGAGTGGCATGGTGCTACGTGATCGGAATACATTAAAAGCGCCGATCAGGTATAATGTGTCGTCGTTCGTCACCAATCTCGTTGAACCACTAAATCGTGATGAAGCGATAGCTGGCCCACAGAAAAACGAGTGGGAGCACGCTATGAGTGATGAAATTAAATCACTACACAAAAACAACACTTGGTCACTAGTTAATTTGCCTCAGGGCAAGGTTGCGTTACGTAACGCATGGGTGTTCAAAACCAAATATAAAAGTGACGGTAATATCGATAAGTTTAAGGCCAGATTGGTCATTAAAGGTTGTTCACAGAAATACAGTATAGATTACCATGAAACATTTTCGCCAGTGGTCAGATACGAATCAATAAGGGCGATATTCGCAGTAGCAGCTGTGGAAATATTAATACTACGACAATTCGACATCAAGACAGCATTTCTGTACGGAGAACTACAGGAAGAAATTTACATGGTACAACCACCAGGATACGAAGATGGATCGAATAAAGTATGTAAGCTTCAGCGTAGTTTATATGGCTTAAAACAAAGTCCAAGATGTTGGAATATCCGCTTTAAGAATTTTTTTAATGCATTTGGTTTACAATGTACCGAAGCGGATACATGTGTATTCAATGCATATAATAGTAGAATTATTCTGGCAATATTTGTAGACGATGGCTTAATCGCTGCAGACAATGAAGAAATAATAAATAAACTTTTAACAAACTTGGAGAAAGAATTTGAGGTTAAAAAAGGAAACTTAGATTATTTCCTAGGTATGCAGGTAAATATAATGAAAAATGGTTCATTATTTGTGCATCAGACAAATTATGCATGTAGCATAATTAATAAATTTAATATGCTGGACGCCAAGGAACTTTAAATACCAATAGACAAATCACACACACTTGAACAAAAAGAAGATACGGAAATATTGAATGAAGATATTCCTTATAGGCAGGCAGTAGGTAGCTTACTGTTCTTATCACAAGTAACAAGACCAGATATAGCATATGCAGTAAACTTAGCTAGTCGTTACTTAGCAAAACCAACTAAAGCTCATTGGAACTTGGTAAAACGGATTATACGATATATCAAGCGAACATTTAATTCTGGCTTGTACTTTAATAAAAAAACAAAATTGTCATTAGAAATATTTAGCGATGCAGATTACGCTGGTGACATTCAGACACGACGTTCAACGTCAGGATTTCTATTCAGGTACGGGTCAAGCATAATTTCATGGACATCGCAGAGACAACATTGTGTGTCATTGTCATCGACAGAGGCTGAATATATTTCGGCCAGTGAAGCTGTCAAAGGGATCTTGTGGATTACACGGTTGATAACAAGCTTATCGACAAACAGGTGACAAACAACCAGTTTTATTTATAGATAATCAGAATGCTATTCGTTTAGTGAAAAATCCAGAGTTTCATAAGAGGACAAAACATATAGACGTACGGTACCACTTCATACGGGAGAAATACGAAGAGGGACAATTCCAACTACAGTACATTGGAACAGAGGACCAGATTGCGGGCATTCTAACCAAGCCTTTGGTTAAGGAACGATTCGAGAAGTTGCGGTCAGCCATAGGAGTGACTACAATTAAAGAGATTATTAATTGAGGGAGGGTGTTGAAATATACAATTAATATGTAGTATATGTAGTCAGCCTTGACACGTGTGTACAATATAGTAACTAGTTATGTACGAGCATAAGACTCACTCTCTTTACGGATGTAACATGACCTCGGTCGTGCATATATATAGGGCCTTTGATGTATGTAATATTCACTTGCACAGGCGTCGTTGTACAGAGCGTATACGATGTGTGTGTACTGTCACAGTTTAATTGTCCAGTTGTACGTTATTATATATTATACTTATACATAATCATATTGTCGTGTTATTACTTATTATATTAATGCTAACATAATTAGTCCGTCAAGCTTCACTTTCAACATAAACCTATACCAATCGTTTGTACCTAGTTTGTACCTGTTTGTACCTCAAGTAAAATCGTATGTACCTCATAGGATTTCCAGTTAATCCAAATTTCGAGGTTGGTGTTCAAAACTTTAAACTTGCATTTGTTTACCTTGTTCAATGAACCATTGACGTGCCACGTGCGTGACTTGGTTCCTAACCAACGATATTCTTTTGCAACTAATTTTCAACAATACGTATTTATCTAAATTTTAGGCGTTTGTTATAAATAAATAGTTTAATATCATAAATACAAATAAATACATTCTTATATGAAGGGAATAAATATTTTTTCCTAGATTTGGCAGTGATTTAACAGTTCAATGTTTGGAAACTTATTATTCTAATTGAACTATTAAATACCTAATACCTAACACCTAATACCTAGGTAGTCTATAATTTTAAAAAAATTATGGAAACACTTACTTAGGCAATATTTTCTATATCTTAGTTACTTATTATTTACTTGGCTGTTTTTTATAATTCTAAGGAGTAATTAAATTGAGGCATATTCCATTCGTAGTTTCATCTTTCATGTTTTATTATTTTAAAATGTAACATATTATATGATACAGATCTGTGTATAAATGAAAATAGTTAACATTTTTTTTAAATATATGGGCTTTCAAATTAACACAAAGGGTATATTTCTTTTGCTTCCCTTAAATAATTTAGCAACTAAAATATTATTAATTGAATGATAAAAATATAAAATTAACATAAACTCTTATTTTAAATTAAGTAATATTAATATGTATACTAGTACAAAGTAATCATTTATGAATATTTTAATATTAATAAAAATGTAACATATTGGATTAAAAAAAACTTACATCAATTTAGAAAATCGTATATCTCTATTTAAAGAATTTATATTGTATAGACTAATATTTGGCAGTTGATAGCGATAGTAGTTGGTCTAACAATTCTTGGTGAAGTGGAAAGGTCGTCATACTTCTCCCATTTATTGGTTGCATCTCTCCAACAATATGTGATATAATGACCAACAGCTTGGTGTTTTTTCGAGGCGGGTGGAATAAAAATAATCATTCCTCGAAGATTATAAAGTTTTGTTGAACAGTTATAGTTTTAGGAATCTCGTGTAACATTATAGATATATCTAAGTTCTTATTCGTGTTTTGTCCCGCAGTATGTGTTACATATGGTTCAATAAATATTTGTTTTCCATAATCATTTACCTGTTCAATAATGTTAATTTCGCAATTTTGACATGTCTTATGATTTTGTAAAAACATCGATGACAACGCATCATTTAGAAAATCTAAGTTTTCCGTTGGTAATTTAACCAAAATTGTCACGAGTTTTCTTTTTTTAGTAAAAGAACAGTTGAGGCATTTCCTTACAGTCACTAATGAAAAATAATTTGAAAATAAATTGCGAGTCATAAATGCCATTGTGCATGAACAGTCGAAGTTCCTAAGACCACCTGGATATTCAATCCAGGTTCGCAAAGTGCACATTATTTTATTTAAAATAACAACTATTTTCCGATATGTTTGAGCATTAATTCCATCCCTTGATGCACTCGAAACTAACTCGACGAAATCGTGTGATATTTCTTGATCAATATATGTAGAATATTGCGTACTGTCCACATACGAAGAGCATATAAGATGTACTAAACTATCAAAAGCACAGGTATTGGTCACAGTATAGCTAAATCCTTCAATGTTTACTGGCTTAAAATCAGAAATATTACCATTCTTTAAGATACCTAATATTACACTTTTTGTTTTGCTACGATCGTTGTAGAACAACACAGTTGGGTCTTTTTCAAGGTAATTGCTTTTCTTATTACTCTTAGTTTTTTTTTCTGATTTACCAACAGTTTCATTTACAATATAATGGTTTTCAATGTCTGTAATTAGGTTATTTGGTACATTATTTAAATCATTGGTGACCCAACACGAAACATTTTTGTTTGTAATTGGTTTTCCGAGTCCTCTCCAATTTTCAAACGAATCATTTTTTTCGATTTCTAAACTGAATTCGTTTCCATTTTTCTCAGGTTCTAAATTGAATTCATTTACATTGTCATCATTTTTCTAAGCTTCTAAATGGAATTCAATTACATTGTCATCATTTTCCTCAATGTTATAAGTATCAATCATAAGTATTATAACTTTGTTCATTTTCAACTTCTTCATCTTTTTTTATCCATTAAATAATTATCATACTAAATTTTAGGTTTTGATGCACCAAGTGTACTTCCGATTATGTTCATAGAACCGATGATTGAATTAACGTGAATTTTTAAAAATTGATCAATGTGTAAAGGAAAACTTTTTTGTTTGAAAAGTTGGTTTTTAAATAATTGAAGAAACTCTCCGAAGTTGAGCTGGTTTCAGTTATGTTCCCATACTTAAATATAGGAACCATTAGAGCACACCACGTCGGAATTAATTTACAGAAGTTTAATAATTTTTTCGCGATAATCGGATTAAACTGCATGTTGTCATGGTCCCCTTCATCATCATTTTCTGCTTCATATATTACATTTTCAAAAATCAATTTGAATTCCAAAAATATTGAAGTGTTGTTAGTTTCTGCAATAATATCTGTAAAATCTTCATTTGGTTCCTTATCATCATCTTCTCTTGGATTTAAAAATTCATCATTCAACTCTACTATGTGCGTAGCTATCCTTTTTTTGAGATACATTTTAGATATTTCACATTTTGAGAGTTGTTTATATGAGTTTGATCCATCAGTTTCATACAAACAAACAGTGAAAATATGCTCAATAACAATTTAATGTCCGTATAGTCGGTACTGGCAATTATTAACCCAATAGATCGCAAGTAAAAATTTTTTATTCTGTGAGTAGAATTCTTTATTTCCGGCCATGAGCTTCACAAGTGCATGATATGATTGAAATCATTTCGTATCATGGCCGATGGAATTTCTACTCCAGGTTCATTTAAAACCAACGAAGAGCAAACACTTATATATTTTGTAAAATATGCGTATTGCGTAAATGATTTCGTTACTGCCATCATTAATGCCAAAGACAGGTCTGTTGTAATTATTTTTGGGGAAGGAATTTTACTCAACCATTCAGATAGCCAGTACAAAATTGTGTTGTGGTCATGTTTCTCCGACAACATCTGTTCTACTGCAAATTGGGAAGAAGTTTTTGGATCTCTTACAATAATTTGGTATAAAAATATGTTTGCCGTTTGTCTCCCAGATATCAATTTTGGTCTTTTCTCACTAAACCTCCTGTAGCATCGATTGATACTCTGGGGACGTCTGTATTTATTGCGTAAAGACGATAAAAGTTAATTTCTGTGGAGGCCCAATAATGTACATAGAATTTATCATATGATATATCTCTAATTATATTGTTATATGGTGAAGATCCTTTTAATATTGACAGTGCGATAACTGGGTCAGAATTAATTTGTTCATCCTTCAATGCCTTATGCTTAAGAATTCGAAGGGCATTCGTAGATGGCAAGTGACTGGGTTCTTTATCTCCGTATTCCATTACACCCATTGCTTCGACACGTTGTACATAAGCAGGGGATTGATTTTCGTTTATTTTTTTTTTTTTTAATTGTTCCCGTTTGTTTCCTATTAATTTTCTTTTATTAGAACTTTTGCAATGTCTAAAACCACCTTCATAAGTACAATCTATGGTTACAATATCAGTACATAGTGGTTGATCAATGAGTACTAATTGGAAGTTACTTAAGCATACAGTGCATTTTTCATATATTTTAAGGGAAATCTCACCATTTGGACACACTTTGGCGTTCTTATAACTTATGGAACATGGAAGTTTAGTCAAAGCATTAAAATAGTTATGTATCACCGGAGACCATTCGTAAGGTTTCAGAGTTTGATATTCACGATCTGACCTTTTATAAACTCGAGAGTTAACAGAATCATAAATTGACTCCCATTGATCTTTAGGTAGTGCCATTTTGAAATTTAATTTTTATTCACTGTTTAAGTCATCATTGTGTCTAGAGGATTCTTCAGAAATTATTTCTTCACTACTATCTTGTTGATAAGTTTGTATGTATACATCGAGAGAGGGTTTTAATTTTGTCAAAATATTGTGTCTATTTTCTTTAACAATTAAATACAAGTACTTGGATGAAATATTGAAATTTAATTGATTTATTATATCCTTCCAGCATGTATCAGTAGGACTTTTCAATAACTTTGTTCCCTTATCAAATATATCAGATTTTCTCTCTGACAAAACTTTAAGGATTTGATCGAAGTCAATTTCGATCGAGCATATTGAAATGTTGATACTTCCCCTAGGGTTAATAAATAAAAAAATATGATAAATACAATACTTAAAATTGGATCAGAAAAGTAGAATAAAATTGAAATTGAAAAAATATTGGGAATTATTTTTTTGTTAACCTTAACCGATTGGCTTAAAACTTTTTGCAGTTCATTTTTATATACAGTGTGTAAACGGTAATCGAGAACACTCAATATCTTTGCGTAGAGACCTGCTATTTGAATTCCGTTTTTTTGGCAGTTGTTATGACATAACAATACACATTTTTATGGTCTTTGAGTTTTTTTTACTTAACTAGTCACGCGCATGCGCATGTCAACTTTTTTTTTTTAAATGGCAACCCCCTGCTTTAACCACTAATTATTATTTGCCTATTTTTTTAATGAATTTTTGTAGTTGAATCAACTTTCTAAGTCCAAAATTGACCAAGTTACAGCCAATCAAAAAAAGAAAAAATTTGAAAAAAAAATGCGCTCAAATTTCAGCTTTTTGATTGTAACTCTGAAAATAATTATTTTAGGATTGTTAAACATTGACATTTTTGTAACTATTTATTACGCTGATATTCAAAGAAATAAACAACATACTAATTTACGTTTTTTCTGCTATAATAAGTTATATGATTTATTACACAAATTAAAGAGAAAATTATTCAGTAATTGAAGTTAAAATAACGTATGAATATCACCGTAATAAATAGTTACAAAAATGTCAATGTTTAACAATCCTAAAATAATTATTTTCTGAGTTCCAATCAAAAAGCTGAAATTTGAGCGCATTTTTTTTCTAATTTTTTTCTTTTTTTGATTGGCTGTAACTTGATCAATTTTGGACTTAGAAAGTTGATTCAACTACCAAAATTCATTAAAAAAATAGGCAAAAAATAATTAGTGGTTAAAGTAGGGGGTTGCCATTTAAAAAAAAAAGTTGACATGCGCATGCGCGTGACTAGTTAAGTAAAAAAAACTCAAAGACCATAAAAATGTGTATTTTTATGTCATAACAACTGCCAAAAAACGGAATTCAAATAGCAGGTCTCTACGCAAAGATATTGAGTGTTCTCGATTACCGTTTACACACTGTATAATATACGCACTCATATATAGGGGAGAGACTAAACATATTTCGAATTCGAAAATTAAGGAACACCCTATACACTATCACATTTTGAAAATATTTTGATTAGTTTTTTCGGACAATTTCAAATATCAATTTTTTAGTTTTTTTTTTCCTATAGATATCAACAAAATGTTATTTGTTGGCCCGTTAAGCATTAACAATTAATATAAGGCTTCTGGTATAATATTGTTACAATAGAAGTATTTTACAATATAAAGTGTTCAAATTTTATAGCTAAGCCAGCTAAGGATTTAAAAATTTAAAACAATGTTCAACAAATGTAGGTTATTCTGTAACTAAAAAAATCCATAAATATAAAAACACAGTTTTTTTATAGTTATTTTATGTTCAAATTTGAACGAAATAACATATTAAATAACTAAGAATAATAATTTTAGTTATTTTGATGTAATTTTATAATATTAGTTCATCTTACCGGCTACCGTTATAGTAAGTAATAACAATATAAATAAAATATAAAATATACACACTGAAAAGTCACCTTAGCTCAGAATCGTTTTTCGTATACAATGGTATTATATCATTGGATTCAAATTTAATACCATATCACAGTTGTATTCTTTCGGACCAGTCGTTTACAGTTTTTGTTCGCTCCGTTATCTTTACTTTATAGCATGAATTGTTCAAAGTGCAACGTTGTGTTGGCTGATACCGACTGTGTTAAATGTTCAATTTGTTCTAAGCCATTCCATATTGCTTGTACGTCTATTTCTGGTTTAACCGGCAATAATCTTAAAACTCGTTGTACTTCGTGGCTGTGTACTGTTTGTGAGTGTGCAAGACTTGGAGTTAGAAAATCACTGGTTATGCAACCAGTTGCAGATACTGATTTCATATCTAAAATTAATACCATACTTTCGACAGTAAATGATATTAAACAATCGGTTTCTAAACATGAAACCTCGCTTTCGTCACTCAATAAGAAGCTCGACAATGTTTCTGTTCAACTGCGGGACTTGGGGACTCGTACTTCTGTGCTTGAAAATAAAGTCACCCAATTAGAAAATCAATTGTCTAGTACTAAATCATCAAATTATTCAGCGGACGAGACCGTAATATCAGAAGTTATTGATCGTCAGGCAAGATCACGAAATTTAATTGTTTTTAATGCTGCAGAATCTGATGGAAATACTGAAGATGATATATCGCTAATTAAATCTGTTCTACATTATATAACTCCTAATATTGCTCCAGCATTAGTTTCTAGACTAGGCCAAAAATCAAGTAAACCTCGGCCACTTAAAGTTACTTTACATGAGCCTTCCGATGTTTTTATTGTACTTAAAAATAAACACAAACTTCGCACGTCTTCTACATACAGTTCCATTCGTATATCTCCAGATCGTACTATTATGCAACGAAATCAACTTCGTGATATCATAGAAAAACTCGAGGAACGTAAAACAGCCGGCGAAACCAACTTAGTGATGAAGTTTGTCAAAGGTGTACCGACCATTTCAAAAAACTAACAAACGGGCCAGTTATTAATAACCTAAATTTCTACTATCAAAATGTTCGCGGACTCAATACCAAATTAAATGTTTTAATGCGTAATGTATATTTATCAGACTATGATTTTATCGGTTTATCTGAAACTTGGTTATCTCCTAATGTTAATACTTCTGAATTAGGTTTATCTAACTATAATACTTATCGCTGTGACCGAAACCATAAAACTAGCAATCGTTCTAGAGGTGGGGGTGTTCAGCTATCAATTAATAATAAGTTTCATTCACGTTTATTACCTTTACCTATCAGCCCTGTTGAACATGTATTTGTCATTATAAAAGTAAACAATAGTTATATTATAATAGGTAATGTTTATTTTCCTCCTCATACTGATATCTCAATTTACAATGCACATTTTGATATTTTTAATAATTTACTTTTAAAATTTCCTTATGTTACTAACGTAATTATGGTTGGTGACTACAATTTTCCTAAACTACAATGGCTTGCTAGTTCCATTGGATTTTTTCCAAATCTATTGAACTTAAGTATTTTTGAATCAGATTTCTTATCGAATTTATCTTTTTTAAATCTTTATCAATTTAATAATGTTTATAACAATACTGGTTCAATGCTTGACTTAGTTCTCTCTGATCTAAGTAATTTATCCGTAATTAAATCTGTAAATCCACTTATTCCGTGTGACATTTATCATCCGGGCTTATTAATTTATATTCCTATAGTTATAAGTGAACCAATTAAATTTAATTTTTGCATGTATAACTTTTTTAATTGTAATCACGCTGATATAACGTTTTGTTTAGCATCGATTGATTGGAATACTTTATTTAATGATCTTAGTATTAATGAAGCTGTCGACTTGTTCTATTCTATTATTTATGATATTATTGATATTTTTGTTCCTAAAATAATTAAACGTCAGTCATACTACCCTCCGTGGTATAGTAAAAATTTAATAGAAACTATTTTAAAAAAAAAAAAATTGCTCATAAAGTGTTTAAGAGTTCGGGTTTGGTGAGTGATTACAATAAATTTTCTAATCTTCGTAGTAATTGTAAGTTTCTCTCTAAAAAAGATTATCTTAATTATATAAATAAAATTCAAACTAATTTAAAAATCAATCCTAAAAAATTTTGGAAGTTCATAAACAGTAAACGTAGAAATAATTTTTTACCTAATTGTATGCATTTAAACACAGATAAATTTAATACTCCTAAGGATATTATTAATACTTTTGCTAATTACTTCTCTAGTGTTTATGAAAACTACGATAATATTAATGTCAATTACAAGCAGCAAACTCCACCCAAAGTTCTTATTTCTTCACTACATTCTTGTTCTATCGATTTATTTGAGGTATTTGAAGCATTAGGTTCATTAAGTTCCAATTCCAGTCCTAGACCCGATTTAATTCCAAACATATGCCTAAGAGAATGTAAATTTGTCATTTCCACGCCATTACATTACCTATTTAATTTATCACTCACTCTCGGGCTTTTCCCTGATAGCTGGAAAACTAGTTTTATTCGACCAATTCCTAAATCTTCATCTGATCTATCCAACATTGCAAATTACCGTCCAATATCCTTGCTTTCTTTCATACCTAAAATATTTGAATCAATAGTTGCAAATAAGGTATTATCTGTTTTGAATCATGTAATCATAGATGATCAACATGGTTTTCGACGAAATAAAAGTACGATTACTAATTTACTAAACTTTCAAAATTTTATATCTGATGCTCTTTCTCGTGGATCGAATGTTGATGTCATTTACACAGACTTTACCAAGGCGTTCGATAAAATTAACCATAAAATCTTATTTACAAAATTGAAACAAGTTGGTATTTGTGGCTCTTTTTTATGCTGGGTCATCTCCTTTATTGAAGATCGTCAGCAAATAGTAGCTTACAAAGAACACTGGTCAATTCCAATTCGTGTCACATCAGGAGTTCCTCAAGGGTCCCATTTAGCACCAATATTATTCCTTATTTTTATTAATGACATTCATTTCCATAATTGCACTAAATTAATGTTTGCCGATGATATGAAGTTATTCCGTATAGTTGATAATCAGAATGATTCTGATTTACTTCAGCTCGATTTAAATACTCTCTATGAGTGGTGCATTAACAATAATTGTACTCTTAATACTAAGAAATGCCAGATATTTACATTTTCCAGAGCTCGAGTTATTTCTTCATTTGATTACAACCTTAATGGTGAAACACTTCTTCGGACTATGGGGGCTATTAAAGACGTATTTATTTCGATCCTAAACTTAAATTTGACAGTCATATTACCAACATTGCTAACAGGTCAAATAAAATCCTTGGTTTTATCCATCGTAATTGTGCTGATTTTGATGATTCATTAGCTTTAAAGTCTATTTACTGTAGCTTGGTACGCTCTATTTGTGAATATGGCTCAATAATATGGTCTCCATATCAATCGGGTCATAAGCAAATCATTGAAAAAATTCAACAAAAATTCATACGTTTCCTTTCATTTAAATGTTCCATAATCAGAGAACCCCATTCTTGATATACTCCACTACTAACAATTCTCAACCTCGAAACACTTGAACAACGTCGTCTGCGATTAGATTTGTACTTTTCGTATAAACTTTTTTCAGGAAATATAGACTGTCCTGAGTTCCTAAGTCGCTTCTCCTTCCATACCCCTATTCGTAACTCCCGGTCTAAAAACACTTTCTATCTAAACACAGATACTACGTAACACTCTAAACGTTACAATAACGTTACTACGTTACAATCTAAACACGTAACTAATTACGCAAGCAATACTCCCCATCATAGAATTATGAAAACTATAAATAAATTAATTATCGATCTGTTCATATCACCAAACTTCAACTCATTCAAAAATTATTGTAATTCCTTACTTGTTAATTCATAGCTATAAGTATGTTATATAATAATTAATATTATACCTTTTTTGTTTTTCTCTATAATTATTCTGTTTGCATATTACTTTAACGATTGATTGTTGTTATTATTATTATTATGTATGTAATTGGGCCTGGCCCGTTTAAAACTTAAATAAATAAATAAATAAATATATTAACCAGTGACCCGCTTGTAACCTACTGTACAGAAGAGCGACATCCACTTACCCACCTTTTTTAGTTTTTTTTCTATAATAAATATCGATAAACAAATGTTTACTGATTCGAAAAGTTTAAAAATGTTTTACAAGGTCTCTCGTAAGTTGTTAAAATAATAGTTTAGAAATAAATGAGATACATAGAACAAATTTATTTGTAACTATTTGGAATTAGTTAATTTTTACTAAATTCATCAGTCATGAACATTAGCAAATTATTTCGTACGTAAAACCTTCGACCATATAAACTAATAGACTCGGCATACGGTAAATATCTTGATGCCAACATCATGTATTGTAATGGGTCATGTCACGTTTGGGCAATAACGCCGGCCGGACTGTAAATAATACTGCCGCTATCCCAAATTCCCAATAAATCATTGACTTTTGAATTTTTATTCCTATTCCAATTTCCTTACTATAGTCTATAATATAATCTATCTATCTCGGTTTTCTTCTATCGTATGGATTATTTATTTATTTACTATGATATATTTATAATTGATATATTATTATCTAACATAAATTCTAGATTTAAGGACTCAGATTTATATATAGGACCTAAAATTATGAAATAATACAATTATATTTATGTCATATTAAGATCTAAATAATATGATCTTAGTAAGATATCTAAATATATTTTAAAAACTATTAAATGTTGAAAATATACTTACATAATATGTTTTAATGCTTATTGCTTAGATAGATATAAAGGAATTTATATTTTTAATTAAACGTCCATTGAATATACTTTGTGCCTACACTTAAATTATAGTTTAATAAATCAGTAAAAAATTAAAATGCATACAACTAATAGGCGCGTCTATTCAGTGGCGCCGACTTGTATTTCATTTGGTGGGGCAAAGTTTAAAATTACTTACCACCACCACCTACATGATTCAACTATCACAAAGCCGCTCGCTTCGCTCGCTATTTACCATGTTACGTTCTGATCAATTATTAATACTTACATAGAACAACTAGTTAGTAGTTACTAATAGACACATTATACCTATCGATATATTAATTTTTGTACCCATACCAAAGTAACTGTACTTATCATTTTATCATACCTCAACCCTTGTCACTGTTGCATATTATAAAATCTCAAGCAACCATTTAAATGTCAATTTTACAGCCTACAGATATCGTTACACCTACATTTTTAATATTTTTAGCACTTTATTTTTGTTTCTTTTTCTCTATTTTTGTCAGTAACTGTTTCTCATCTAAAGTTCAGAATAGGTATTGAGGAAGGCAACCTGTCATTAGTAGTATCTAAAAAGAAAACAACTAATAAAGAATAAGACAGAAATAATTATTATCACATTTATATTATTTTCAATGCTTTACTGCTTTACAATATTTTACTAGATGATATTATCTATTATCAAACTAAACGTAATTGTCATATTATATAAACATATATATATTATTATAATTAAAGATGAAGGGTATTTTGTAGTTTAGAACTAAAAGAAGAAAATGTATCAATGACTTCATCATAATTAATGTCTACATCAAATTCACAATACATTCTCATAAGTCCTTCCAGTCGATTATTTCCCATAGTTGAACGTAGTCGATTCTTAATTAATTTCATTTTTGAAAAAGATCGTTCAGTTGTTGTACTACTAACAGGCAATGTCACAGCAATTTTAAGAGCCATGTACAGGTTTGGGAAAACTGATTTTAGATTTGCATTACAAAACAGTGAAAACAATGATACCATACTTGCAGCATTATGTGGTTGTTCTAAATCTTCGTGTACCACATCACTGTCACTATCTGAATCGTCTGAATTATTATTGGTCGATTGATTACTTTTATGGATACGCTTGGGCAAATAATTAGATTTCAACAATTCTTCA